GTGGAAGGATTAAGGTGGTTTGTCCATTCCTCATACTAAATTCGGCGGGAGCCCACCACGAATATGTTGTGGGGCACGTGATAGGGTAGCCGTAGTACCACTAACACCCCCCCGTGCTACGGCGCCGCCAAAGCTCTGCCGCCCGAGGCCCCCCCCCTTGCTCAATTCTTCTAAAAAACGCAATAATAATTAATTACAAGAATCAGACCCTGATTTCCTCTTTAGGAATAGGCTCCCGTATGGCAATAACCGTAAAAAACAGGATAACACAAGCAAAATCTGTAAACTCCCGTATCATCATTACCTTCACCCCTTCTTGCCAATTTCCATTAAGCCAATCCTCTTAACAAATTATTCGAAGGCAGGCCTTGCCAGTGGCTTGGTGAGGCCGTCAGCTATATTGGCCGTAGAACCAACGTGTTCCATCATGATTTCGCCTTTTTCAACCAGATCGCGAAGGATATGGTATCTGATCTCGATGTGACGTGACCTCCTTGTCAAGGACTCCCCTTTTGCTAGATCTATCGCGCCCTTGTTGTCAACTCGCAGGTGCGAGCATACCTTCGCTTTCCCTTCTACTAATCCAGCATCAAATAACATGTCATTCAGCCAGATCACTTCGCACGCTGCCTCACTTGCCGCGATATACTCCGCCTCAGTGGTTGATTTTGCAACTGAGGTCTGCCGTTGCGACCGCCACGAGATTGGTGATCCGTTTAGCAGGATAATGTAACCTGTAGTTGACTTGTATTGGGGGTCTGCCCCTGCCCAATCTGAGTCGCTGTACGCGACAGGACTGAGTCCCCCAATCATCTCCTTCTTGTATAGGATTCCGTGATCCTTCGTTTTCTTGACGTAGCGTAGGACGTGTTTTAATGCTGCCCAGCATTCCTTGTGCGGACGCGAGTTGAAACGTGAGAGGTAGTTGACCGCGAATGCCAGATCTGGTCTGCTGCTTGACACCAAATACTGCAGCGATCCTAAGCCTTGACGATATCTAGTAGCAGTAAAATCGTCATCTAACCCGCTATCTTCATCTGGTGAGAATTCTAGGCGTATGCCGGCCGCCATCGGCGTGCTGGCCGGGTTGACCTTGTCCATTCCAAAATCCTCAAGGATCTCATCGATATAACGGTTCTGGGTAACCGCTAGGTCGCCGTTCATTTGACGTTTGACTTCCATTCCAAGGTAGGGCTTGTTCTCTTCGACATCCTTTGTCTCAAACCTTTTAGCAATCTCTGCCAATATCCAGTCTAATTGCTGCTCTTGGGGTCCCGTTACCCGACAGTCATCGACGTGCAATGTCAGGTAGATCTTGCGAATAGGGTGATATAAGAATCCGCCATCGTACGGCGAGATTTTGAATCCTAGAGTGGTGAGGTGTTCCGTCGCAAGGAAGATCCCACATGCGTAGCACGTCTCGCTGCTGCTTCATCCCGAAAAGGCTGAGACGCTCATGATGTAGTGCAGCAGCACACCCAGCCCCCCCTGCCGT